GGGCGTCGGATTGTTCGTTGTGCACATGGCTTGTGGTCAACCGCTTTTCAACACCATATGAGCAATGTCTTGGAGTTGGAGGCCCTTTGCAAGGCGCTTCAAACTTTTCGACCCTGGATTTTTGGTGCACCAGTCCGTGCTATTATGGATAACCAGGCTGCTGTGAGCTTCAACAACCCAGCACACTTGAGCGATTTTCTTAAGCGACGTCTCGATCACCTTTCTTGGTATTCACCACAAATTTCATTTTGTCCGGGGCCATTTAATTATTTGGCAGATTTTTTGTCTAGACAGGGGGCTTGGATTTTAGGACCGTCTCGTCTTTGCGCAGTGGAAGGTCATCGCTCATTGGTCATTACCCAGGCACAATGGAAGCAGGCCCATGCAGGGCATTTTGGGGTGAGGAAGACGTATCTTCGTTTTCGCCAGATGGGCCTGCGTCCAACTTGGCAGTGGGTGACGGACAGAGTGCGGTCTTGCAGAGTGTGTCAGTTGTTCCATCGACCGCAGCCATCTAACCCATTTGGCAGTTGGCATGTGCCGGAGAAACCTGGCCAAGTCATTGGTCTGGATTTCATGGGACCTTTTCCTGAGAGGAAAGTGGGGAAGAAGCGATTTGTTCTTGTCATTGTGGATATGTTGACCAGACGGGCGGGAGCATGGGCAGTTGCGGGTGTGGGGGGTGTAGACATCGTGCGAGGGTTGAGGAAGTGGACGGAAACGCAAGGGATACCTTCGGTCTTGTGTTCTGACGTTTGCAAGGCCACACAGTCCAAGGAACTGCAAAGGTGGTGTGCACAGGAGGGAGTAACACAAGAATACTCTCCTCCTTATCATCATGCGTCCATTGGGTTTGTGGAGTGGTTCAATCAGACACTTTTGAACCGTTTGAGGCGCATGTGGGCAGAGGAACCCAAGTACTTTGCCAAGGTGGTCGAGCGGGCAGTGGAGATCTATAACGACACACCTCTCTCTTCACCAGAAGAAAGCAAAAAGACTCCCAGTTCTTTTGTGTTTGGGTCGCCGAACCAACTGTGGAACAGTTCGCGAGTTGTGTGGGGACGTTTACAGGAGTATGCACGTCAGCAACGCGCAACGGCAAACCACAGGACGAGGGGCCGGCGTATCCACCGGACGTTCAAAGCTGGATATTGGGTGTGGCTATGGAACACAAAGGTTGAAACACTGAAGGACAAGCTCGAGCCATGGTGGAAGGGTCCGGGGCGGTTGGTTCGCCCTATAACGAATGCAGTTTGGGAAGTGCGGGGACCGGAGGGGAAAGTATGGGTTAGGCATACTGACATGTTACGGCCGTATCGGGAGGCAACTTGAAAGAGCTGGGTTTGTGGTATGTGGGTGTGTTTGGCGCAGGGAAGCGTGTGAGGGCGAGGGAGCGATTAAAAATATTATATGTGATCTATGGTGTTTTATGGTTGGAAGTGAATGCGTGAGCATGGTGTTATGGCGAATGTACATGGAGACAATGGAGTTGGGTATCGAATATTATTGCAGTGACTGGTATTTAGACCGATACGCTCATTCTGTAATGCATCTGGTTACGGCCTTGCTTCCTGTGCCTGGGAGCGACCGTGTGCGAGCGCGAAAGTGTTCGTTCAACCCGATAGTCAATATGGATGAAACAACCTTGTTCTATAAACCGATGTCATGTTCTACGTACATCACCAATGCCAAAGGGCACCAGACTACGCATGGTACAAAAAACATGGGCAACAAAGATCGCGTGGCTGTGATTTATATGCTAATGATGATGAAACTATCAAAGTCCATGTTGCCATTATCGGGGTAATTGTCAATCCCACGTGCTTTCGGTTTATGTCATGTTCAGTTTACTATGCGTATCAAGAGATGGCATAGAATTACAAGAGGACATGTTGCTAATGGTCTCAGAAGTGTTTGTACCTTGTGTAACAGCTCGAGTTCCCTCCACAATAAGGATTGCTTTGATTGTGGACAATTTCAGTGTGCATGATTATGACACAATGTTCCATCTAATGTGGAAGGTGGATGTCATGGTTTTACTGCCAAATTGCACATCTGTGCATCAACCAACGATGCTAGAGTAATTCAACCTTCAAAGCATATTATCAACAAAACTTGTTGTCAAGAGTCTTGGAGGTGCTGCCGCACAAGTTGGAATTGAGGGAGGCAGCATCTGGAATTGCTCAGGGGTTGAATGGCATCCCTAAAGGGTATGATGCTCATGTGCTTGATACTGCTTACATGGCGAAAAGTGCATGGGACAACATCACAACACAGTGCATTGCACGATGTTGTCTAAAAGCCAACATTCTTCCAGGACCCGTGGTTGTAGAAATACAGAATGTGTGTGCTAAGACACATTACCATAGTACCTTGGGAAGTGAAATTGATGATTGCACCATCACCAATCATTATAATGGTATGCAATCCATGGCTATGTCAGCCACAACTCAAGAACTTTAGGAAGAAGACAGAAATTCTATGACGGTTCTTCAAACAATAGATGGTGCACAAGCCTGGGTGTCCATCAAGGATACTGAAGATGTATCGGAAGTGGTGGCAGATGATGCCTTTCATGAGCTAAAAGAGAAGCTGTCAGTCACAAAAAAAACAGCTGAAGGGAGCAATGAGTTGGCTCTATAAGATCTAGAAGAAACAAATGATGCACACCATGAAGCGCAAGATGGGCGATTTCAGTTGACTACATACCCCAAAATAGCGAATCATTTTGTGATCCTCAAAGATCTTGCTATTAAAGCAGGTTTGGATATGGCAGTGGGTTTTTTGTATAGGGAGAAGTAAGAGTTTCTGGAGTACACATGTACCAAGAAGAAGCTGCAAATGCGACTGAACGATTTATTCAAACCCTTAGGGGACCATGTGCAAAGGGCTTGTATTTTGGTCTATGAGATATTTGCTGAACTATGGCTAGAAGTTGCTTTTATGGAGTTTTCTGAGCTTATTCTTGAACAGATGACTATTTGTTGGGCACCCAGAGCAATGTAATCAAAGCATGTAATGAATCTTGTGGTGCATTGCAAAGTACTACATGATGTGCATGGTTGCGCAGCACCGTCCGTTTGTTCGCGGACGACATCTTTGTACCCTAAGTGCTTTGCATCCTTCAAGCGGCGCATCACACAACGAACGCGCTCCGCTGCTTCCCATCCGTGCGACAGGTCGCCCAGTGCCTGGGACTTCCCTGTATGCGAGTTGCATGGCCCAGAGTACCAGGTGCAGCATGGGCGAGTGCCAACGGTCCGCAACGGCTGCACGGCGTTTAACAATTGGGCACAAAAGTCACAGCAGAAAGGCGGGAGTGGGAGGCCGAACATGGCCTCCCACTCTCGCCATTGCCGCCCCCTGTTGGCGCTGAAATGTTCCACCCACGGGTGCCCCGATTGGCAGCCACGATTGCCATCAATCGGCGCCTACAAGGGGCGAATGCCAACGGTCAACAGCGAATGCGCGGCGTTAAAAAACTGGGCACAGAAGTCGCATCAAAAAGGCGGAGTGGGAGGCCGAACGTGGCCTCCCACTCTCACCATTGCTTGCCCCCGTTGGCGCCGATTGGTGCCACCCGTGGGTGCCCTGATTGGGAGCCGTGAGTGCCATCAATCGGCCTTGACTCGGACTCCAGGCACTGACAACTACCGATCTTGAAGGGCAAGGGTGACGCTCGCACAGAATACTCGTTCAGAACAATGTTCTCTATAGGCCCTCGACTCTGCGGCAATCTGTGCGTTGAAAAAATGGACGCCGTGGTATTGGACACCCCTCCCTATCCCTCCATTCTGCCGAACGCAAGGAGCCAAGGCAGGAAGTGCCCACTTCGCTGTGCATAGAATGAGATCCGCCACGGAACGCACACCTCCCCTGGCCTCCCGGGGGATTCCGGGCCCGGGCCCATGGCGGACACACCAGACGTGCCGTCCGCTCGTCCGCGATAAGCCAAGTTCGTTCAAACGGTCGGCCGGCGGGGCATCCGTCCACCAAACACCTCTCTTGGGTGTCCACAGTACTAGTTTGAAGTCCCACGCAGCGAAGCTGATAAGCCAAAAAGGGAGCGCTACTGGGGGCCGGGGGCGCTATGAGGGGGCGCTATATAGCTACCCTTACTGTACCATGTAGATGCGATATTCGATCCGGCCTCAAGGTTTGGACTGGGACTTCTGGGACTTCGCAACGAGTTTTGGGGCCTCAAGGAGGCCGCTTGTCGCTGCAGCCGACGGTCCAGCTGAAAGCCCGACGGCTTTGAAAGTGGGTGGGTGGTTGACCGCCCCGGTCGGCGCTGGCGAGCCTTGCGGCTGACCCTTGTCTTTAGGAACCCCACAGACGTGGAGGGCAAGGCAAAAGTGCGAACACAACGCAGTGCGCGGCTGCGGCAAGTTAAGGTGTGGAGCAATGGGGATCTGCGTGACCAATTCAAGCTGATGTGCCTGCGTTTAGATTTTGAACACTTTCCCCCCAGTAGCACGGAAACAGCCGCAAAAAGCATTGTCGCTATTCCCAATGGGTCAAAGACACTCATAAATGCCTTGGACTGGCCAGCGCGTTCTCTGATCCAGCCACCGATTCTTTTTCGACACCAATTCTCTGAAGATTACAATATCATGGGACACGTTCAGACAATGGGCTGCCCCTCGCGTGGATTTTTGGCGGCTCTTGGCATCGTTGTGAAGATGATCGAGATGTCTCCGAGTGCCGTGGGATTGATTAGAAACACAGGGCGGCACTGCAGCGTGCGTACAGGAAGGCCCTGCCACCTTTTATGACCCCTTTTGAGACGCTTCTTCCCCCCGTTTTCAGATGGATCCGCTGTCTGCGGCGGACACGATCGTGAGCCTGGGCAACCGCGTGCTGAACTTCGTCGCCTCGGCGAGGACGAACACCAAGAAGTGCCAGGAGGTAGGGCTACGGGTGCAGTGGCTGCAGGAGGTGGCTGCCAAGAGCACCCGGACCAGCTGTTGGAACGCCGGATAGACCACGTTAAGGAGGTCATGGGCGCCGCGGAGGAAACAGTGAAAAAGTACTGCGACTTGAAGAGGGGCCTGAAGAAGGTGCTGAGGATCGCCATGGCGGTCCCCATCAAGCAGCAATTCAACGACTTGAATGCGAGCTTGGATTGCTTGCTGAGCGGTAAAGAATATTGACTTTCTGGCAGAGATGGAAGCCCTTGCAGGGGTGTGCAGTGGACTCTCTAGAGTTTAGTTGAATTATATTGTGCAGAACATACTGGTAACCTTGCTGGTTCTGTGGTGGAAAAGTCGTGCAGCTGTTGTTGTTGTGTTGTTGGGCAGTTCACTGTGTCAGGACTGACCCAGGGGTCACCAAATTGCTCTTTTTGCCAGGACGATTTTGTCTGACCAGCTGTTTTCAAATGCTTGGTAGTTAATGATAGGAACTTCAGTATTAAAGCTTGCCCAAATTTGCCTGCTGCTTGTTTTTTTGGTGCTATCTGCAGACATATATTTTCAGGACTGGGTTGTGCTTCTTGCTGAGTTGCTCGTGTTCATCGTGGCGGGCATCGATTGGAGGTCCAGGCCCCAGTTTGCATTCAGCTGTGTCCTTGGTCACACTGTTGGGCTCACTACACCGCCTGGCCCCACTGGATCTGCACAGATCTGACTGCTGCAATGGCTTCTGAACTGCGGACAAGCCTGTCCATTGTTGGGAAACATGTCATCCTGCTCCAACGTGACATCGACAACATTGAGGGCCACTTGTTGGATTTGTCGGATGAAGTTCGGGAAGGGAAGGAATCTGTGAAAGCATGCATAGAGAAGCTGGAACATTCCCTCAAGGAGGACATGAGCGGGAGGAAGGCCATGCAGAGACTGGCAGAGGCTGCAACAAAGACACCCCATATGCACTTGCCAGAGCAGTTCGTGAACCTCGACTCCAGGATCAAGGAAGTGAGAGGCATGCTGGAGCAGGGGGCACAGGCAGTTGCGCTGGTTGGGATGGGTGGGATAGGTGTGGTGATGGACCCTGCAGATCCTCTGCTATCTTTGTGGCAACCTAGCGCTCTGTGTCTGGTCCTGGAATAATCCAACAAGCAGTGTGGGGGTTCTGTCAGCTATGCAGCATGCACTGGTGCACCATGATAGATCCTGCGCAATAAACTGCAAGCCATTCTGCTCAGTTTGATGCCAATAGTGCTGTTTGTGAGGTTGCATGGTCAGAACCTGTTGCAGACGTGCTCAAGTTTGCCCAGCGATCACAATCACTGCCCAGTCCCCTAAAATGCGAAGCAGAGCAACATCTCTAGTTTTCCAGTCTCTGGATGCTGCTGAGCTGTTGATATCCATCCCCAACACAAAACTGAAGCATTTTCTTAACTGGTGAGCAACAACCATTTCGATCGGCAAGTGGCTCTGTTGACGCAGCATGCTGACCTACTGTGACATGAATCCTGCAACAGGAAAGACCACATTAGCCAAGGCTGTGTACATCGAAATGCTTGCCTCTGGAGACTTTAAAGCGATGGGCCTTGTCACAGTTGGTCAAGAACCCGATTTGCTGCAGTGCCTAAAACAGATATGGGCATCCCTGGTTTCGCCAGATGGGGGCCCTCAATGCAACAATGTGCAAGATGTGAAGACAGAGCTCCTGAATGCCCTGCAAGACAAAAAGGTATTGGGTTTAAAACATGCTCTTTAAACATAACGAATATTTTTGAAAAACTACGCCTATTGTATTCTGAGTACTGTGAGGTATTTCTGTGCCCTTTTCATGTATGAAACACCAGATTAACATTGACTTTACACTGTTGTGCTTCCCTGATGACCCGCTAGGTTTTCTTGGTGTTGGATGATGTCTGGACGGAGAGCAGCCTGGAGAGCTTAATGGTGACGAGCAGTAACAGTGCCAGCAGGCTCATCATAACTCTAAGAAATTCAAAGCTGGCGCTGATGGCAGGCGCCCAAGTCTATCATGTGGGCCTGCTGAACGACATCCAGTCCATGGAGCTGTTCTGTAGGTGGGCGTTCGGGCAGCCCAATGTACCCAGTGACAAATACAGTTTTTCAAAGTTCGTGACTGGGATGGTGACAGAGTGTGGGCAACTTCCGCTGGCCCTTCGGGTGATCGGATCCATGGCTAAGGGATACCGCACAGCTGTGGAGTGGCAGTCCACCGAAAGGAAGCTGAGGCAGTCCAGGTCATTGGGGAGGGAGTACGAGGACAACCTCCTGGCAGTGCTGCAGAACAGCTTTCACGATCTGCAGGAGGAACAGAAACACTTCTTCTTTTGTCTTGTGGCCTTCCCAGAGGGCACCCCAGTCAGAGTGTCCGACCTGGTGGAGTACTGGGCTGCACAACAGTGTCTCGATGACACAGAGGTACATGAATGGATTTGTTGGATCACATTTGCCTAAACTATTCAACCCTTCTGCAGGACAACATAACGCTTGGCCTTTTCTTGCGTAGAAAAATTGATAAAAGTGAACACAATGCTTGGCCTGTTTTGTAGAGCAACAACAAAAAGTAAAAAAGTCTCTGAAAAAAGTGCGGAGCAAAAAAGTATCATGGTAAAATCTGTCGAAAGGGAAGGGTTCAATATTCACGGTACCAGCGGGATAGAAATAGTGGCGTTGCAACTTGAAAACAGGACAGTAACTGGCACATGCAAAGCATTTGTTTGTTCCTCACAGGCGGATGAAGATGATCGCCTCCTGGACGGCTATGCCATTTGCGTCCAGCTTGTGGACCGATCGCTATTCGTGCTGGATGCTTCCTTGGGTCCGTTGGGCTGCTTCACAACAGATGTCCTGTGTGACATGCATTGCTACATGCACGACATGTTGAGGGAGATGGGTCTGCAGATAGCAAGGGAGCGACATGCTGTGGAGCGAGAGCGGCTGCTGTTTCCGTCCCTGGATCGGATCGGCGGGGTTACCATTCATGCTAAGGAACTGTCAACATGCAATTGTCCTTCGGAATCCTGGCCTGAAGGCTTCCGTGCCCCCCGGCTGTGGGCCTACCTTTCTCGAGGATCAGGGTCCATGATGCTCCCCCCAGGTCTGTGGCTGTCCCAGCAGCTCAGAGCCTTGGATTTGTCGAACAGTCACCTGGTCAGCTTGCCGCAGGACATCAAGCGGCTTGCAAACTTGGAGGTGCTGAGACTGGATGGTTGCCAGGGATTGACGGAACTCGACGCTGGGTTGGGCGAGCTGAAGCAACTGACCATACTGTCCCTTCGCACGTGCACAAGCTTGACTGCACTGCCTGACTGCTTCACAGGCATCCCCCGACTGCATTCTGTGTACATTGGCTGCCCAGGGGTAGAGTCATTGCCCCCGTCCCTGGTGGTTTTACCAAACTTGAGGAAGCTCGTTTTGGACGGCTGCCAGGGCCTTCTGGTGCTGCCAGGCAATATGCAGATGCTTGAATGTGCCCAGGTGCTGAACTTGGCTGGCTGTGAGCTCTTGGTACACGTTCCTGATCAGTTGGAGTCGTTGACCTGTCTCCAGGAGGTGGTTTTCGCTGGCTGCAAGTGCATTGTCAATATACCAGAGGGCATCGGCGCCCTGGAGCAGCTTCAGAAGTTAAATCTGAAACATTGCAAAAGCCTTACCCAGCTCCCTGAGACCTTGGGGAACCTGACCGAGCTGCAAACACTGATTTTGGAGGGCTGCGAGAGCCTTGTGCAGATTCCAGATACCCTGGGTTTGTTGACTCAGCTTCACATGCTGGATCTCAGCGGATGCAAACGGCTGGCTCAGATCCCAGAGAGTGTTGGCTCATTGCACCAGCTGGAAGTGCTGAACCTCAGGTTTTGCGCCAGCCTCGGGCACCTCCCTGAGGGCGTGGGCTCACTAATTGAACTGCAGGTGCTGGATCTACGGTGCTGCAAGAAGCTCACACACATACCTGACAGCGTGGGCGGGTTGAGCAAACTTGAAGAGCTGTTGTTGCCGGGCTGTAACAGCCTTCGACAGCTCCCTGAGAGCGTGGGCCAGCTGAGCAAGCTCCAGGTGCTAAACTTGAACCTATGCATGAACCTGGAGAGTATTCCCAAGAGCTTGGGGTCTCTGCACAAACTGAATAATTTGAATCTTAATTTTTGTGCCAGTTTGACGCACCTGCCAGAGTGCATGGGATCGCTCAGCCAGCTAAAAAAGCTGTACATACTGAACTGTGATAGTCTGGAAGGGGTGCCAAGCGGTTTGGAGCAGCTGGAGGGGCTTCGAATATGGCGCTAGAGAGCATTGTCTGATCCATTGTGCGAGCACCGGGCCACGGGGACCAGCAGGGGTGCCATTCACTGCGCATACCGTGACACGCACCATGACCTGGAGGCTGTTGGCTTGACATTGACGGACAATGACGGGGGGGCGGGTGGGGTGGGGGGGGGGGGGGGGGGGGGCAGCGCGAGTAGAGTATTGACGCATGGCACACAACTGATACACGGTTTTCAGCAACCTAGCAGGGTTTGGACATGAACCGAAGCTGTGTAGACCGAACAAGTTTTTGCCAGCAAGACGAAAGAAATGACTTGATTTGCATCGCACTGCACGATGAAGGGGCCACCCGAGGCCTTGAAGGTGCAGGTGCTTCGTCCTGTTGTGATGAATCCAGGGAAGAGGTGAACTGTAGAATGTAACTGCACAACGTTCACGAACATCCTGGCCACTTAATGGCGTGCCATGCTGTGCAACGGAGGTGTTGCCAGTCCATCGATCCAGTGACGCTTGGGATAGACAGCGCCTCCTTTTCCAAACGCGTTGCAGCTCAACACTCTAGTCTTTGGAATGGCTATTGCGGCCACCCGATTTTCACATTGGTAGCACGCATTGGCCCACACCCATGCAGCTGAGGGGTCTAGCACGTATTGGGCATGCAGGCTTTAAAGCATCGCCGTACGTGCGCATGCTGACAGCAGAAACGAAATGCTGCGCCATAAGCAAATTGACTGGAATCAGTGTTTCACGCAGCACGGACGAGGCGATGGACGATGTGTGATGTTGACATTCTTCGCGCGTGGGCCGTGCAGCCCAGCAATACATCACGATCACCGGGACAGGATTCTTGATTCTTCAGCGACTGACTATCCCTCTGCATAACTTGGGACATGTGTGCATCGGCGACGACGGCCAGCTGAGATTCTTTCGTGTTCACCTCCCGATCCGATCGGCCCGGTGGTCCCTTCTCCATTTCCATGACGCGGAACTGCATGAGGAGTGGTCTGAACGGTCGGCACACGCGACGACGAGCACTGCCTACGCCCATCTCCCTTCATGCGAAATCTCCAACGTCGGCGTCGAACAGTGTTGAATGGGACGCAATTTGTCCGCCTCGAGACCGCGCCTTCGGCTTCCGAAAACTGGAACGCCATCTCTTGTCCGCGTCGCCGACGGCCCGTCGGTGCCCAAATGGGCCCACTGACTGCTCCCTGCCGTCAGACACTCTCACCACGGACCTACGCTTCCTGGGGCCACATCATCTACACTGAACCTGACCTAAACAATGCGAACCAAACCTGACCTCGTTCCTACTCCAACAAGCTTCCAGTAACATGCACTGCGACGTCAGCAACGCCACCAGCACCACATTTTCCTGCTTCCTTGCTTCCAGCTGCAGTCCTTATTAAGCACCATTCTAGAACTTTGAACTCAGAGCCTGCATGAACCCGGATTCTAGAAGGCTGTTCTGGACATACACCTAACTCAGGAGTTCTAGGCTGCCTCATCCCTGGCCCCCTCCTCCTCGCTGCCCTCGTTCGCCGCCAGAATGCTCAGTAGCACCTGCCCCTCCTCGACTTGTCTGCCTGGGCGCACGAGCACGGGCCCCACCACGCCGGGCGCGGGAGCGTGCATTGTGTGGTTCATCTTCATGGCCTCCAGCACTACCAGCGCCTGGCCTGCCTCCACCTTTTGGCCAGCTTCTACTGGCACCTGAGCCGTCCAGGGTAATACCGCCTCAGCAGAAGTTTAGCGCTGGAAATTTAGTTTGCGTCAACACTGAATACATAGATTGGATTGGTCTGCTATGCACAACGGCCAGCATACGTTGTGATCAAACTGTACACCTGCGTTGCCACAGGCACGCTGAGAGACCTGTTCGGTGCTCGTGTTCCTCCACTCGCAGGGCAATAACGGGCGCACAGCAGAGCAGCGTCGACATGCACAATGGCAAGCTGGAACTGCACGCGAGTTCCGCTCGTTGTTTCCAGACTCTGCAAACTTGCAGGATTACCGCAATTGCCCAGAACAGGTACAATATTCACAACCACCTGGAAGCCAATCCAGAGCAGCTTGCGCCATTGCCGAGATACGGGATCCCAGTGGGATTGGAATCCCGCAATCAGATGACGAGCAAAAAAAAAAAAACATGTACTCCAAGTTCAGTCTTCCAGGTGGGCGCTTTCAGCCGTCGATCGATTCATGCAGCTGCACTCCCAATTCCTGAGGGAGAGCCGCAAGATTTACGCACGGAAACATTTTGCGTCAATGCTATAGTAACGCCCGGTGCCAAAATCCGCTATCATCAATAATCGTAACTGCTGTTTCTGCGATGGCAATAACAGCCTTGCTTAATTTTGCAATGTGCGTAGCAATACTACGATAAACCGCCTGATGAGCCATATTGCTACAACCCGCATCAGCGCCCGCTTCCCAAAATGCTGAGTTGTGGCTTCCGCGTTAGAATTCCACTAGATACGGTCGATTGTGTTTTCAGACATGGTTTACACCTTGCAATCCATAAGAAAATGGGGATCCTCTCAATCAACGTACTATGCCAGCGAGCCAACTGGCACCAGTCAGGATGACAATCAAGAATGCACTTTCAAAAAGCGTCGAGCACAGCAAATGATGCGCCAAGTTAACATGCTGGCTTCCGCGGGCTTCATCCTTGTATTCAATAGGCAACACACCTTGACGATTTTTCCGGGCATGGGAGCGAGAATTTGGCCCGTTCCAACTTCAGAGACGCCTCCTGCTTCCGCTCTATGCCCAGGGCGGTCCCACTCCAAATCGGCGTTGCCAATTTCGGACCACACGTGCATGACCTCTTTCCGAGATTTGGTGAAGGAAAAGACGTCAGCAGCCACGGGCACAGAGCCCACCTGTGACGCGTTCAAAATGCGCTGACTGTTAATGAGAAAAAAATCGACAAAACCACAAAAAGTGCCAAATCAAGTACAGTCCCGTTTTGAGAACGGACGGCAGAGCATGTGCACAAAAAATTGCGACGCGAACCGCAAGACATGCAGTGGCGGAATCTTCTAACATGGAGAACGCCGTCAAGTTACTTCCTCCCGAGCACAAGTCGAGCTGGTCATTCAGGCATCGCAACAATATTCCAACTCGCAACGGTAGACGTGCCAGCACAAGTGCAGCCCAGGGACAGGAGTAGGATCCAGGCATACGATACCCAAGTAACCCAGGGGACCCAGGTATTGGGTCACCGGCAGCTTGAGCGCTACAAACTAGCCCCCTCAAGGCTTCACCCGGCGTGGCTTCCACTACCTTGGCGGTGAATCTGCCGTCCGAGTCAAGAGAGGCCTCTGTCACAACGAGTGGCGATCCAGACGGGGGGTCGACCCTGGCCTCGTACACATTTTCGGACACGAATTTTATCCGGACTGTCTCCTCGCCCCCTCCCGGCACCTTGAAGCCGAACGCCTGCTCTTCGATGTGGTTCAAGCGGCGGTAGTCTGGCGTGTCCCAGGGATGGAGGGCGGGTGAGGAAAGGGAGTTGAGCGCCGAGGCCAATTTGTGCCTGGCGACGGCAGCGAGCGCGAGCATCTGCAACGGAATGGGGAGCCACACGTGCATGACTCCAGTGCACTGAATAGTAGTCAAGCTGTTATATAATCACTTGTTGCTGTCACCTTTTCACAATATTTTGCGTAGTCGTCATCCGCTGCGTTGGGCATCGTTATCACGTTTCACCACTGGTATTTCGCTTAACTCCATCACCATCAGTAAATAGTGCAAATGCACTGTCGCAAGCGTCAATCTTAACAACGGCAGCACTAACATTCGACAGCTGATGCTCGGCATACTTCAGGGACAGCGCGGGATATTTTGGAGCATATCCAACCAGCTGCTCATCGACGCTTGCATGCTGCAAACGGATTAACTAGTGTGCCGCATACAGCCGCTAGTGCTCTGAATGGCAGGAGCGCTTTCGTTTCTCCGCATTGATCCAACAGACTGCCCTCCCTACAGTTGCAGCGCCCGTCTCTGAAAGGCCGCTGACGGTTAAACCCTCACCGGCCCAGTCCGCCAAAATGTCGACCGTCCGCAACGCGAGGAATGAACGACTCGATGGTATGCAGCAGGAAGTGAATATGGCGATAATGTGGACTCCCCATGAGCGCCACATTCACGTTCTGCTGCAAACCATCGTGTCGTTAATTGTTCGCTCTTTGTCTTTGTAAACTAAAGCGTCCAATATGCATTGTGACCTCTTTATTCCGTGTTGCTGACGTTGGACTGCGCATCCGTGGGTGGGCACGTTGACGCATTGGCGCAGCATTGGGCAACGCTCTGCGGCAGCCAGCGAAGCGCGCGGTCGTTGGCAACGGCATCTCACCTTGGGTGGGTGTCGCCTTGGCGCCAGCAATTCTTCCTTGTGTCTGTCTATGAAACCTGTGTCCAGATTCCCATCCGCGAACTCCCTATGGCCCAGGGCGCGTTGTAGGAAAGCTAGATTGGTCGGAAGACCGCAGACCTGTAGGCAAGCGGGGGATCGCCACGCTGGAGTTGCCATCCAGGAGCAATGGAACAATTGCCATCAACACAACGATTGCCAGCTATAACATGCTGTTTCTGCATTCTAACAGTCTGTTCTCTGCAAATAGGTTGATTATTGATATGGATGAATATGTAGTGTAGATATGAATATGAATATTTACCAGCAACAATAAAATGATCCACATGCTTCCGTGTACACTTCGTTGCATTACATGATGTTACATTCATAGGCGACATTTTGTTTGCCGCTCGTATCATTCGCTTGCCGTTTTGGAGTGTCCTTGCGGGAGTCCAGGAAGTAACAATTGAGAACCAAAATGCAGTCTGGAGCCCACCTGCAGCTCTTCAAGGGCCTTGCAGAGGGTGCTGCATGCGTCGGGTCGGGTCTCCCCACCAGCGATGACTTTTGCAATGAGCGGGTCGTAGTTGACGCCCACTTCGTCGCCCTCCTGAATCCCGCTGTCCACACGGACGCCGCTGGGCCCCGACGGGATGGCGTACTGGATGGCATCAGGGGGCAATCGCCATCGCAATACCCGGCCCGTGCCTGGCACGCATCGAAACAACAGCCGTTGTGCACGCATGGCTCTGATCACAGTGGCATGGGAAAATTTCTGAATGCCTGTATACACCACGTTTAAGAGTCCAGGCATCATCACGCTTCTGGGAGTGGAGTTGGGTTTAGTGAACGCTATGTAATTAAGGAGATCATCATCATCACCATCATTCATTTTTACATACTGCCTCCGTTCCAAAGTCGTGTCGCATCTGTCATTTGCACGAACGGAGATCAACATGAGCGAGTCAGAAAATTGACCAAAACATGTTCGATGCGCCATGTCAAGAGCTATCAAAAGAGCCCTCTAGCATGGCAAACGGTGCTGCCCTTCTTGAGACGTGTTGGGTACACCTGAAACGCGATTTTGCATTTTGTCGGGACCTAAGACGGGGCACAGGGAGCTTGTCTTGCCCTTCAGAAGAGGTGGATCGACCTTGGCTATCTCTGCTAAGAGAGCGGTATGCTTTCTTGGTTGGTCTGCACCAAGGATACGGCTTCCATTCCATACATAATCAATAAGGAAGAGGATCGGAGCGTAGTACAGAATTTGAGGTGTCAACAAGGACATGGCAAAGGTTGTGGCCAATGTTCAAGAGACACCTCTCTCTGTGAAAGAACATCTATCTGGCAGACTTTTCAAGGTCAGGAAGGTCATACGCACCAAAGTTAGGGCTTAGATTGAGGCATAAACGGCCAAATGTTGACCACCAGAATCTTGGAAGTAGTTCCTCCGTCCCATGTTAATTGTCGTCTATTTGAAAAACAAAATTTGTTACAAGGACGGCCTGAAATTTACAAAACAAGGCCAAAATCGAAAAGATTGGGTCCCAAAACCCTTAGCTACCAATTTCCAAAAGGAGAAAGCGAGACACGACCCTTTTGAGCGTTAAGCGAAAGGTAGTTTTGGTCATTTTTAAGCTCGAATATCGTGGTTTGCTAGGTACAAAGACCCTTGATACAAAATGCCCCCAAATCCTCAATATTGAATGGATTGACATGAAATTTTGACAGCATACTCCAAACTCACAATCACAACTTTACGTCAATTTTCATTGAAAACTGATGTGGGTGTGATGGAGAAATAATGCCCCGAAGTCATAGATGACAAATAATCTGGGACGGAGGAAGTATGATTTAGCATACTAGGACAAACAATGAGTAAAAAGAACGGTAGTAGTGATATCAAGATTCTTCAAAGGTTGTAGTAATGCCTATTTCTTGTCTACAACAAAGTTCTCCATGACTTTTGGGGAAACAGGACATTTGGGAATAAGACCAATGCAACAATGGGGGAATTGAGGACCTGCATAGAGCTGCACAGGGGCATTTCTGACCAGGCTGTGAATGCCGCGTTTTATGGTGATGGCTAACGTAACCAAGACCCATCTCAACCCAAACTGCACCAAGCAGTCCGGACTGGTGATGGATTGACTGGTTGAGTTGGTCTTGCAAGGTCATAGCAAAAACTACAGATGCGACACGGCTTTTGGAACGGAGGCAGTAACAAGGCAAGGAGCTAGCCGTCAGCTTCATATTTTCCCGAGCGAAGCATTGTCCATGATCAGTTCATTGAAATCTGATGCACAACACAAACAAAGTCCAGGAACCCCGTTGCCAAGAGTCCAGGCACGTTGGCAAACGGCAAGCATCTGGCAGGTAATCACCATCACCTGACCTCCACATTTACAATAAATGGCGTTGTTCAGCGGCACTGAGGCCTAGTGTCGATGAAGAGCGCATTAGTTAGTTTAGATGAGTTTAGTTCAGTCTCAGGCAATTCAACGCAGTGCAGTCACCTGGCAGGAACTCTTGGTGGGGGACCTCTGCGTACAGGCGCGCCTCAATCATGTGGCCCTTCGCCTGGATGTCCTCCTGACTTGCAGGCAGGCTCTCACCGGCCGCCGCCCGCAGCTGCCACTCCACCAAGTCTATTCCGCAGAGCCACTCAGTGACAGGATGCTCCACCTGGAATGAACAACGCTGTGTCGAGATGGGGCTTGAATGCGTGGGGGCAGGTGATATGCTGCAGCGTGAATCCAGGCCAATCAACCAGCAACAACGCCCACATCCAGGATTCTGTGGTCAGTGATGCTCGATGGGATAAAAAAATAGAATGAAAAATAAAAAATCAACTGTCCCGCATATCCCCGAGCCGAAGGAAGGCAAGCTATTCCTTTAACCTCCCGAGACGATGCAGCAATCTCTGATTGCAGTATCAAACGTGGTTGGTTTTGTGCACAGCACACCAATAATAGCGTGATCGAGATCTGACATCGATGCGCGAGAATTGTGAAACGGCAATGCTGGCACTATGTCAAAGGACTGATGGACTCTGTGGAACGTTCCGGGCCAAAAAATGCGTGTTGCTGATGGTGCTCGCCGCCTCTAGGAAAAGGAGCAGTGCTTTCTAAGAGTTTGGCAATTGAACTCGCGTCAGCATTTCGTCAAATCGTCCAATCACAGATATCTATCGAAGGAAACGCACAGACTGCGACTGAATTTGTCGTCCATTATTCAAGTCCATCGCGATTGCATTCCTCACAAGCGGATGGTAAGCGCCAAACTTGCACCCGAACGGCGATTTCTAAAACCCTGAAGTTACGTCATCTGATCATGCCCAGCACATCTTGGTCCCTGTCTCATAAGATATTTTTGCTTTGTTCGAATGCCACCCACAGAACAGCAGACAGCATCTTCAAAAATGGGCCGCCACTTGCCTGCCCCAGGCTTCATTAACAAATCCGCACACAGGCTCAAAGCGCCGCTGCCCTGCGAGGACATGGGACAGGCGCCGGCTATCGGCCCTGAAATAGGTACGAAACAGAAAAAGGACCAACATGGTGTTCGGCTGTCGGTGTTCGTCTGTGAGTTACTCTTCTGAAATGAGCCTGCATATGCGAGCAGCATTCGGCAGCCAAGGTGCTGAACATGCGTCTGTTTCCAACAGATGACGCAATGTTGAAGTCAATCTGCTGGAAAATCGTGTTCCTGGGCAGTAGACGTAAGTAGTCTAAGGCCATCCTCGATTGTGTTGCAAGTGGTGATTGCGTGTCACAAGAACAAAGCCACAGCCAGCAAATTCGGCAAACGATGCCAAGCCGAGGCGTACAGGCCGTGTGGCATTCACAGTCAGAAAAACCCCTCCGCCATTTTCACGAGCTGCACCGATGAGTGTATGAATGCTTCAGCTTGAATCAAACACATATCTGTCCGCTACCGACGATTTGAAATGTTCAAACATGGCGCTGCAAATTACTCATGTTCCTGCGAAGCCGCAAATGAACTTTATCCTGCAGCCCAAGCAAATATTCCTAAGCAAGGAATTTCACCAGTTCAGAGCTAAAGATCTCAAGGCATAACCAAATTCGCCAGAAGAAGGTGGCCCACCTGCAACCTCGTGTTCATCTCCATGAAATAGAACTCTTGCGTGGCCTTGTCCATGATGAACTCAACGGTGCCAGCATTGACGTAGCCCACCGCCTGTGCAGCCTGCACCGCCGTCTGGCCCAGCGTCGCCCGCACCTACTCGAACAGCAGGTTTTCAGCAAACTAAGAAGTTCTACATTTCAAGACAAGCAGCCTTCAGTTCCCTATTTCGTAAAAGGAATCAGCGTCATAGAATTGTCCAATGAGTTCCAAGACCTGCAGCAACGATTCAGAATCCACCAAATTATTGAACTTTTTTCTAATCTCGCTTCAAGTCCCGTTCCCTGCGCAATGTCGGGGATTCACAATTGAGCATTGGTACATTGGCAATGAAGAATTTGTCGTGGTCCAGTAGGACAACGTTTGACCGCTGTTTAGCTGTGCGCCAAGCAGAAAACACAACACTCGCATGTGGATTCTCTGCTCTGAACACAGGAAGAAACATTCAATTGACAGCCACCTTCTCAGAGATGTTCGTGGCTGGTGCCTCCTCCAGAACTTTTTGGTGGCGGCGTTGGATACTGCAGTCACGCTCAAACAAGTGCACTGCATTGCCATGAGCGTCGCAGAACACCTGCAGGTCAGGAAGCACCCGTGGGCGTGTATCTTTTGAATGCATTCGTGCAGCAGTAAGTGACAAATGAGGCCTTGCAACTGCTGTGATCTTTCACAATTGCCTTTGACAAGGTAAAGTGGTCCCTGCATCTGCAAGGAGGTGTCAGGCATTGTGAGAAGGAGGGCCTCAATTAATTGTTGGCTCCCATACATAACAGTGCACAACTGTACAACGTGCTGAAGCTCATGGATAACACCCGAAAGTGGGGCCACGATTGGGTACCTAACAGTACTTTGATACCAGCACTGCCAGTACTTTGGTGTCAGTGGAACAAGGACAACAAATGGCCATCGAATCAACATTGAGGCTGCCAAAACGAATACCACTCTGCCTTTACATCTACACTGGGCCTTTTCTAAATGGCAGCAATGAACCCTTGTCAGATGAAAGCAGCATCACCTGCACTTCAATGTGCCTGGGACTGGTGATGAAGCGCTCCAGGATGACACGTTCATCCCCAAAGGCCTCCCTAGCCTCTCTTTGGGCAGACGTCAATGCATCCTAAACAGCACAGAATCAACTTTTGCAATGTATGCAAGACCTTCTGAACACAACAAGTTGGAATCCGGCTATTGTGATCTCCATTTCGAAAATGAGTCAGCAGCTTAAGCAACCCAAGCCAACACCTTATCAAGTATGTGAGGCTTTCTCACAGCAAACTAATGCACCACATCCAGGAGTCCAAGTAACATTGGTGTTTCATCCGATCACAGGCAGTTGGAACTCAATAAAAGCATGATTTCTGCCTCTGCAGGCATGCCAACAGCGCATCATCCTCAAAAGAATGACTTGGACCGTGCTGCTCTTCACACCACTTCAGGAGCCAACGCCAAGGGGTTTGGAGCCATGCACAACGAGCACGCATGAAAGCAATCGGAATCTTATTGCTTGAGCGTCCAGAAGAATGCAGACCTGAACTGAACCAGACTGATGGTCTGTAGTTGCACGTGGGCCTCAGCAAAGCCATGTTGCGCACTACATCTTTCATCACAGAACACCAACACCAAATAGACGACCTGCATGTTTGCATGTCTCACTGTGCAACTTCTGGCAGCCAGTGAACGCCCACGATCCATGAAAGAAACAATTGTGAAAGCGCACAAACCTTGCCACTGTGTATTCATCAATGCAATGTGGAATAGTAGGAAGTCACACATTGAAGAAATGCAAGAAAAAAGCAAATTTGTGGACAAGAATGGGAAAGTATTCAGTGCAGTAACAGAGGTTGAAGCAAAGAGGGAAATGCTACAAGGGGTTTAGAGCCCCAGTACCTTGAACTCACTCTGATGGCTGACCAGTTTCATGCCCTTCCCTCCACCCCCCATGACTGCCTTCACCAACAGCGGGAAACCAATTTTGGCAGCAGCCTCCTCAAGGCCGTCAGCAGATTGCTCATTCCCCTCATATCCTGAGTGCAACATCACATGATCACATTTGCTGCCTGTGAAGGATCCTTTCCCATGCAACTTATAGTGTGATTAAAAGCGTAGTCCCACCCAATTTTGTTAGATCAATCAAATATTTCATTGCAAAGAAAGGGGGATCTCGAAGCTGCCATCCTTATAGACACCCAAAGAAAACATGCATTGAATATCAACAGGAGTTCCCCACACGAAGAGCAGAGGGAATAATGCCTAGACTGAATAAAGGTGGAAAGTGAAAGCAAGGAATCGAGCCATGTCCTATTGTTTTGACACATAGCACATAAATTTTGAAAAAAGGATAATGTGTGTTTGATCCCCTTCTATTTAAGAACACCTGTCAGACCCTGAAAATGCAACTGCAAGTATTATTTTGTTGTTGTGCGGCAGAAACTGCCCATTTGCCCATGCAAACCTTGGCCAGTGACAGGCATGGTATCCCCCCGAACTACCCCTGCCCAATCTAAAGGGCAGTCACTTCTGCTCACAACAGCCTCATGGGACCCATGCACGAAATTGCGGGAATTGCATTGAATGCATTGGCGGTTTTCTAGTGCTCACAATGCCCATTTATGCATGGGAATTGGACATGCACACGACCCTGTTGACTGCAGTAAGGCTGTGTTGGTAGTGTTGTGTTGTGTTGTGCACAATCATGCTTGCAACAGGATCGACAACTTCACACCAAGGAGAAGAATATGCCTTCATCAGAGGGGAGTGCGCTTCCAGCACATTGCTTTTGCCAAAACCAGTTTTTCATGTCCCAAAAACAGAACCTTGTCTACAGCATCACTGCTTTCTTCTTGCCTGCCACGCTGTTGCCTCCCCACCCCGCCCCCACTCCCCCGAGCGCATGCGATTCAGCTCTGCACGCAACACGATATTGTGTGTTCTCACCCTGCCATCGAAGATTCCACATCCTCCATAGCGTGGCACACAGCCTTTCACTATCACTTTGCACAGGAGCCTCCCCACCTTGCCTGAAACCCTCCCCTTCCTGCGATACCCAATCCAACCCATCCTCCACCCACCTGGCACCACAGGCACGCCCGCTGCCCTCATCAACTTCTTGGACTCCGCCTTGTCTCCCATAAGCCGTATGGCCTCCGCCGGTGGCCCCACGAACGCGATACCCCGCTCCCGGCAGGCGCCCGCGAAGGCGTGGTTCTCGGACAGGAAGCCGTAGCCGGGGTGGATGGCGGTGGCGCCGGTGGCGCGGGCGGCGTCCAGGATGGCTTCCGCGTTCAGGTAGCTCTGCGACGGCGGCGTGGGGCCCACGCGCACGGCCTCGTCGGAGAGCAGCACGTGGCGCGACGCGCTGTCCGCATCGCTGTAAATCGCGACGGTGGGGATCCCTGCGCATTCGCGTTGGCGTTGGAGGGAGTCAGCCGCAGGAGCGCTGATTTGGGCTGCAAGAGATTGCTGGATGGTTGACTGCTGTTGGTAAGGGTCCCTGTGATGATCGCAGCGTGTGGTGCGAAATGCGAGTGTTGTTTATGGAGGTGGGGACCTGCTTTGGCCAGTGCGGGACAGTTGACGCTCGGTGAGCCTGGGCTTCTCGCAGCCTGATTGTGCGTCCTAATGAGCGTCGGTTGGCCTGAGAGGGACATCTTAGGAGACATCTCGGCGCGTCGCCCGGCATCGCTCCTGTTTTGTGCTTCTGTTCCCGCCTTTGACACTTAGACATTCACTTGCAGCGTGGACAAGTAATCACAAACAATGCTCGTGGGCCGTTGCGTGATCTGCTTGTGTCCTTCGCAACGGTCAGGTCGATAACAACACCGCACCAGAGGTTCACCCCTGAGGCACCGCCGGCCAACCGTCGACGTGATAGACAGCAAAACATCCAAGTTCGCGACCACGACCGTTGCACCTATGATTCAAAACCCGCGTCCAGAAACTTGGCTCGCGAGCGGCCCCCGGCACTCGTGCCCGCCCTTTTTGTCGCCCGCGGCGCGCCCCGTCCGCTTCCGACCGTTACCTAGGCGCTTGGCCGTGGCGATCACTCTGCAGGCGATCTCCCCCCGGTTGGCCACCAGCAGTTTCTCCACGCCCACCTCCCCTCTGCTCCCCCGCCCCGATCCTCCAGAAATCTCCCGGACCCAAAACCCGCCGCCGGCGCCCCGGCCACCCAAGATCCGCCGCCCGCACCTGCATGCCGAACGCAAGCGCGTCGCTCACGCGGCGCCACGTGGACGTCTCGCCCGGCGATGCGAACAGCGAGCATGTCAAGCGGAAGGAAGGAAATTCTCCGCGATCAAGATCACGGCGCCCATAGCCTCGCAAGAGGCAATCCCAGCCAGAGGCAATCGCGGCGGTGCAGTGGCCGCGCGCCGCGCACCTGCGTCGGACAAGGGCCCCAAGAACCAGCATGGCTGCCGCAGGTCTGTGCGGTGCGCCTCAGCGCAGGCCTGGCGGCTGCCGGACCAGGACTGCGGGCGGCGGGGCGGTCGAGGCTTGCGAGCGGGCGGGCGCCTGGGGCCTTTGCGGTCGGGCACGGCCGACCATCGCAGGTGCGTCGTTTGGGGCGCGGCGCTCACCCGCGAGGTCCCTTCCCCTGGCGGTGCTGCTGGCACCGTCAGCCCGCGCTGTCAGAGGATGCGATGAGAAAACGGGTTGGAGTAATTGGAAAAAAATGCGGGACCGGCACTTTGTTCGACAAAATTGATAAAATTCGACGCATCAATGACAAACAGGGGAAGGGTTGCCAGCCTGCAAGCGTGCAGGGACTCCCCCATTTGGCGTTGCTTCCCTGTGCACCCCAGCACGCTTGAACCAACACCGCGCCTTGCTCACATGCAAGGAGTACCACATCCCCACATCCCCCGCCCACCCGTTCGTCGCGCACGACTTAACGTTTGCGATGTGGGTCAACCAAAATCACCCGCGCCTCCTTCAATCCCACCGGCCCTCACCCAATCCAACACAGTTTTCGACAAGGCAAGAATGCGGCAACGTTCCATCGACCGCGCGCCCTAAACAAAAAACAAAGGTCCCAAAACCGAAAAGCTGCCCCTATGTTGTGCATTTGTCGTCCAGTTTTTTGCGGCGATGCCCGACAGCGTGGCAATGGGTGAATATTCCCGCAAGGCTGTTTCGTACGGGGGGGGCGTGCGAGATCGCCCCCAGTCCTGCCGCCCGTAGCCGCGCCCCAGCCGGGTAGCCATGTCCTCCGCAGGTGCGCCACCGGCGCCCTTTTTAGCGCCGCCATCCCCCTTGCCCATCTGCGCCCGAGAGACGCGGCCTGACGGCGACACGCGTGTCATGCAGGCGCGAAGACCGGTCCCGGCGTGAAGGCGCCGGCGCCGCTGAAGCTGCCGCTCGCGGGCGCGAGAGGCACAGGTGGGGCCGATCGCGGAAATGGGCGGATGGCCACTGCAAGGGAGATCGTGGCTAGTCTGATCTCGCACTTTGCGGTGGCTTGGGGACATCCTCAGTTAACAAAAAGATGCAGAATGTGATGCACTGGGAAGCGTCCCAACCGACACGCGTTGGCGGGAATGTTTTCGACGGTGTGAAAGTGTGTGGAGATGTCTTGGGGCGGAGCGTGGAAAACGGGGACGGGCATGTTGCGTGGGGATTCGGGTCAGTTCGCGCCTTGGGGTGGAAGTGACCGACTCGAATACTGCATGGCGACTTGTTGTGCAGGGTTCCTGGGTGCTCGGCTGGGAAATTTGGCGGTCCCCAAAAAGGTGCGGCACTTTAGAAGTTTCGTCCTCGGCATTCTCCCCGGGGGCCCCTTTCATCTTTGAGCCAGCCCAGGGAGAAGCGATCTTGGCTACATCTGTCGTTTTCGTACTTTTGATGCTCTGTCAAGCGCAAATATTGTTGACCAATTCATGTGGTGGAAGCACCAGTTGGTCTCGCACGTTTTCAATACCTGGGGTGGAAATAGGGCTGTTTCTTGCGTGTGGCATTCCCAGAATGCAGGTGGTGCACTGTGGCTGAATGCCTCGAAGCACTTGCCTGGAATGCGAGAGGATGGTACACTAACGTTAAAGCAATTGGTCAGCTGGTGAGGTGATTAAAGTAGTCAATTTGCATGGACACAGGCGCCAAAATTGCAATGCTCTCAGTTGTGCCACTGTTACCTTGCACAAGCACAGCCTGAAAGTGGCACTTGTGCTGCCATTTGCAGACAGAAGTAGAGAATAGGCTCCGTTGTGACTACCGCTGGCTGTGTTTGGTCTTGTTTTTGGTGGCACGCTGTCGACGACAGGACAAAAAGTCTCCCAGCCCAGGTTTCCTGTTGCAAATTTCAGCCTTGCAAAACTGGTGAAAATCTCATTTGTCCTTGACTACAAAGTGTCTTCCATATTCCCATGTGACATTGGGACAGGGGCACAACCTCAGGAACTCAGCATAGTGCTTCCCCTGCAGGCAGAAGCCGTTTGCAGGGCCAGCCACGATCGTGGCCTCTCTGCCACTGTTCAAAGCGCACTCACCACAGAGGCACCATCAAACACTGTCTCTGCCACAAGGGATGGCAAAGGCACCAAAGTCATGATCATCGGTGAGGGCCAAGATTCAAATGCAAGAGTTTGACCACACGCTGATCCCACTGATGCTCTTCTTTTTGTTGTCAGGTTTTAATATCAAATTAGGGATTCTGCTCAGCATGTTGCTGTTGTCCATCTTCGTAATTGTGTGCTGTTGCGCGTGCACATGGAATTCGCACAAGCAGCACGATGCTGTATCATGGCTGAATGGATGCCGACGTGTATGTTTGATGCATCAAATGAACAACGACTTGTGGGGTTTGCTGTGCACAATGCCAATGCATGAGGTCAAACGCAGCTTCCATGGAAAGATCATAACTGTTTTGGGGTTGGCAGTCGTCTGTGTGAGTTTGTCCTGCCTTTCCTTTGTTGTGTAACACATGGAGAAGGCCAATGGCACTGGCTCTCGGTATTCAATAACAGCCATATGCCCAGTTAACAGGACCTGTAATTGTGTCTCTTCTGCAGGAATCAATGATGATGTGCTTTTAGGTGTAACATCAGCCTTGCCCACCTTAGCAGCTGCATTGGCAAAATACTTCACATCTGTTCATACTTTTGAGCATGTGTATTCAGCAGATGTAGCTGTGTACAGTTGCCAAATTGGGACTGCTGTAGGGGAAAGTATTTCACTGTGGCATTCGCACAGAGTTATCTCTGGCAGCCATTAGTTCGATGATGACCATGAAAGTAGCAAGCTGGATGAAAGCAGCAATGGCCCGGCCTGCCAGCTGCAGTTATCGGATTCATTGTGAGCCACCCCCAATTAGGCAGTGCTCTACTGCATGTGGGCCCATCGCCTTTTGCTGCCTTGCGTTCCCAACCCATTCATTTCTCATCTGATCAGTTGTGCTGCATGGCAGGTGGAGATGGCTACTGTGGGTGGGCCACTGCGCTGCACTTGTCGGCCCGCGGCTACTCTGTTTGCATCCTGGACAATCTGTGCCGCAGGGAGTTCGACATGCAGCTAGGTCTGGAGACATTGACGCCCATCGCTTCTGTGCATGATCGTGTGAAGAGGTACGCAAATCACTTGGATTGTGGACTGTGGTCTGCAGTATACCAGGCAGAATGTGCAGTTAGCCTTTGCAGCCATCCTTGGGAGCTAGTCATGCATTATACCCAGTAGAACATTGCCAAAATATGCAAAATGTAAAAAATGAAATGCACAAAAAATGTACTGTTATTATCCATAACAAATGTGGTGACTGCTGTGGTTTCGAATGTGCTTTCTTCTCACAGATGGGGAGAGGTGTCTGCCCAGAACATCCATCTTGAGATTGGCGACCTGTGCGATTGGGACTTCTTTTCTGATGCCTTTCGCAACTTTGCCCCGGATGCTGTGGTGCACTTTGGGGAGCAGAGGAGTGCGCCCTACTCAATGATTGACAGGCAGAGGGCTGTCTTCACGCAGCACAACAATGTCATCGGCACTATCAACGTGCTGTTTGCCATCAAGGTGGGGCTACCTGGCTGGCCTTCTAGGCTGGCAGCACTTTGGTTGAGTTGCTTCACTGTGTGCTGAAATTTTCATCCACTTGTCAACAAACTGTCAGGCCTTATGTTAGGTTTGTTTAGGCTTCATTGACTTGCACCAGTTCAGTTTGCCTTATGTTCAGTTTTCCAAACCCTGGTGGACACCAGGTGTTTTGGACAGTTTAGGTTTTGTAGGTGTTCGGTCGCATCAGTTTTGCTGTGCAGTTGGCTACCACTGCTTTCTGCATCTGGTGTGAGAGCTGAGACTAGCTGGACTGGTTGTTTCTGGTTTTTCTTTTGTTACCTTTTCCACAAATCCGGTGCAAAGTTGGTTGTTGTGCTGTGCCGCGCTACTGTCAGCCAGGTGAGGTGAAATTGTGCATGTTTGGTTCATTCTTTTGAATTCTTTTTGCATTAGTGTCTGTTCTTTGTTTTCTGTCAGGGTGGGTTGTATTGGGTCAGGTTAAGGTGAGTTGAGGTGGGGGATGCTAGTTGCTGAGTGTTGCTGAACTGTCTGTGGCCTATTGCTTAGGAATTCAAGCCTGACTGCCATCTGGTGAAGCTGGGTACGATGGGTGAGTATGGCACTCCCAACATCGACATTGAGGAGGGTTACCTGACCGTCACCCACAATGGCCGAACTGATACCTTGCCCTACCCCAAGCAGGCAGGCAGCTTCTACCACTTGAGCAAGGTGCATGACTCCCACAACATACTATTCGCAGCAAGGGCTTGGAAAATCGCTGCAACAGACCTGAATCAGGTGAGGCAGGTCCCCTGGGGGCGTACTTGGTGTGGCAGGTTGTCCTTTCATGACTTCTGTTTTTGCTTAAAGTTCTGTTGAACTCCTCCTGCATCTGGCCGCCTTCTGCCAACCAGGAGGGGTCACGTGCAGCTGCCAGGTTTCGATGTTGAGTCTGTATTTTTGCGTGGTTTGCAAATATGTGTTATTCATCGTGGAGGGTCCCTGTATGAGGCCTTCCCAATGCCTGGCTTTTGCATCTGCACTTCACGTGCCATTGTGGCACTTTTGAACAACATGATCAAGAAACTGCACTTAAGTTCCTCTGCAGAATCTCCTGTTTCATCGGGTTTCTGTACACGTTTCCGACAGCCCTAACATTTTGACGAAAGTCAAAAATCAATAATATTAATTGACTAAATGTAAATTGCTGAGGAAGCAATAAGCCGTTGAGAATGCCATAATGGGACCATAATATGTGTTTGTCTCAATTTTGGTATCAGTGTTCACCATTGATTTGTGCTCCACACAGGGCATCGTCTACGGCGTCCGCACTGAGGAAACCATGGCAGACCCGCTGCTCATCAACAGATATGATTATGATGGCATCTTTGGGACTGCATTGAACCGATTTGTAGTGCAGGCTGCAGTCGGGCATCCCATCACGGTCTATGGCAAGGGCGGACAGACACGGGGCTTCCTGGACATCAGGGACACAGTGAGTACCATTTGTTCATTTCTGACAGCACGAATTCATGGCAGAATGAACTGAGATTCTAAACAAGAACCGCGCAATATTGTATACTGAGTGATGTAGACCTATTTGTAGCACAGATACTGCATTCTGTGAGAATGACAGCTTGATGCACTGCCAGGTGTAACGTGCAATGCGAACACAATATAAAAAAACAGCAGACAAACACAGTGGTCATGAACAACATGGTGAGCTCCATGGCATATGCTCATTGCTGAATTGGTGGCACTGCCCCTGCAGCCACAAACACGCGGGCACGGTGCATGCTGCATCTGTCATGTGTGCAGTTTGCAACCTTCACATATGCTTTCCCAAAATGTGTTGTTATGTCCCCAGTACATACAGGCCCGGGACCACCGAGGCTATATCAGACACATGCAGCTGATTTTTTAGCAACCCAAGAATGGCCAAAATTTTGCAAGCAAGGCCCACATGAAGACAGGGCAACTGTGTGCATTTGTCCCAAACGAGCTATTTTGTTGCTGCTTCTGACCATGGTTTGTGGTGCAAAAGGTTCGCTGCATACAGATCGCAATCGACAACCCTGCAGCAAAAGGGGAGATGAGGGTCTTCAATCAATTCACTGAACAGTTCAGTGTCCGAGACATTGCTGACCTGGTCAAGCGACTTGGGGCTCCGATGGGCCTCAATGCAGAGGTGTGCAAGAACTTTGAGTGTATATTGCTGTCATCTGCAAGTCGCACTTGTGCAACCACAGGGCAGCAAAAGGCATTGTGTGCGTCCACTATGTATGGTTCCAACTGGCCATATACACCCTTCAGAAGATCGTAAACCTCTAGAAGTGCCCAACAGGGAAGGTGTAGGTGCCACTTTTGTTGCCACTTTTCCTTTTTTGGCACCATTTGTTTTGCAGATCCCAAGAAACCACAGCATGCAAAGGAGCGCCCCATCCTGGCAAAAATATGTTGGGCCCTTGCGCCTCTCTGTGTGACGGTTCCAGGTGGAATCCTGAAACTGCAGGAAGAAAACACAATTAAAATGCTGGCAGGTGGATCGATGAATACCAACAATTCAGCTTTGGGATATCAGAGATTTGCACCAGTTTGCCAACTGTGAGTAAGCAGCTTGAACATTTCATGCGACATATACACAAGGTACCAGGTGTGAAAGCTTGCACCTACTTTGACCAAAATGGTGCTTCCTGCAATAGTCCATGTTTCAGTACCTATGCTGTGCTCAATGGTTTCAACCAAGATTATGTTGCTTGATGCAGAAGCACACAATAGAAATCGTGGCTGCTGTATGTGTCAGAAAACATTACAATGTGCTGCCTTTACATCAATCAGATGGTGTTGTGCATGGCAATAGAAACGTCCCAAATGAAACTGTAGCCATATTGCCAGCTGATGCCCCAAAGGGCACCCAGTGTGCAGCACAGAGTACGTTGCTGTGCAAAATGCAATGGGTGCAGTGTCGCAGAGAACTCTGTCTACAGTTTTATTGGCATTATCTGCATTCTGAATTGTTTCCAATATGCCACCCCTATCTTGTCAGAGGATATGAGGGTCTGCTGGCATTTCCATAACAGCACAAGGCGGCAGCTGGGCCCGCAAGCGTTGATCTTGTGATGCACACCCTGCACTGACATTGGTAGAATCATGGCCCAAGAAGTCAATGCACCAGACAGCAGAAAAAAGTACAGTGCTCTGAAAAGAACACCACTGTGCAAAATTGGCTATTTTCATGCTGGACGTGATTGTTTGCATCTTTTCTATTGCAGTGGTATTGCAGTGGTGTAAGGCATATACTGAACCAATGGGCTGGGCCCATTCAGGCCTTTTGCACACGAAATAAGTACAAAAGCGTATTATGGGGCATGAGGTGTGGCAAACATGCCCCATCAGCACCAAGACCATAGCAGCAGCTGTGCATCAAGAACAGTGTCAAGTTTCGAGATGGGATTGCATCGAATAGTCATAGCCTTGAACTCACCTATCTTATTTTACGAACGCTGGGTTTGTGGGCCCCTCAGATAATTCAGATCCCCAACCCTCGCGTGGAGGCTGAGGAGCACTACTACAACGCAAAGCATGCCAAGCTGGAAGAGCTGGGTCTTCAGCCCCACCTGCTGGGCGACTCCATGATCGACTCCCTCCTGGAATTTGCCATAAGGTACAAGGACCGGGTCAGGATGGAGCTCATCAAGCCAGCTGTGGATTGGCGAAAGACACCTGTCACTTCTGGCACCGCCAAAGCGGCCGTGAAAGCGGATTAGTTCTGATGGCGCCCAGGCTTCTGAACAGATAAGTACTGGATACTGGAAGAGCGAGTGGCACTTTGTCGATGGGATTGGTTGCGTGTTTGGGTCTGCAGGAGGCTGCCCTTAACCCACGGCAATGTCACCATGTTACAACGGCACGTGCCTGTGTCGGCATGAAAAGTGTCCTTGAACTTAATGGACGACGAGTGGCGCTGTGGCAGCGTCAGAATGTGCAAGGCAGGAGCGATTTTGTTACAGAGATGCGGGTGGGGTCTTGCGATGGGCAGCGCTGTCATGCACGAGCTGTGCTGGCCAATCGCATGTTCACGGTCGCATCCATGCGATGTTCAGTTGTCTGGAGTCAAGAGCATGCAGGCTGCAGCGGAGACAGGTGCCGCAAGTGTGTGGTGCGTCGCTGTGTTCACCAAACGTGTGGCACCATTGGGCGCTGGGCATTGGCATCTCTTGAAACGTGTGGCAGTGAGGGTTGCGTTGCATGCTGATTTGAGGGCAGGCAGAGCATGGGACACGGTTTCTTCAAGCAGTGCTGTCGTGGCCAAGAGCACACACGGGCACCTAATTTGTGCTGCAGGCCCTTGCTGCGATCGTTGTCCCATTAGCAGGTATTGTGCCCTGGAACCCAAAACCGAAATGCTAAGAAGGGCCTGCAGCGGTTTGGTATTTATGTCTTACACAGCCCAGTCGGGATTTGGCTGCATGCATGCCAGCGTCATCGCTGAAAAGGCAATGCAGGTCCTTTCCGGTGTCTCTGTGATGGTGGCCTGTCACGGAACAGCCCTTGCAGTGCGAAAGCCAACGAAGCTGAGTGCCGCATCACTTGGATTTGGCGTCCTTACCTACACATGGAGTTTTTGGGTCAAGAATCCCATTCAGATATTGCGCTGAACGCTGACACCAGCAAAGTGACGTTGATTTACCATTGCTGGCACAAATTCAGAGTGCCTACATATGCATCGAAGGAATGTTAAGAAAAAGAGAGGAATAGAGAAATGAAAACAATATTGTGTAGAGAACAATGTATTGTCTATTCAGCAGGAGCGATCTGTAGACCCACTTTGGCCCCAAGGGACCATGGACTGGAGAGCGAGAGCGTTCCTTGGAGTTCCCACATTGAATTTGTTCTGTCATGAAAGAGTACTGCGAAAAGTTCCCAGAGTGCATGGCGGCGCCGTTGTCACAGCTGTGGGTAGTGTCAACAACGAGTCCAGTGCCAATTGACGCACAATTGAATTGATGTCAGTCATTGTGCCATGTCAACCAATGACGGCCACATGCATGACATATGGTGAATCACTGGGTGCCACCACACCATAAACCAGTCAGCGATTTGCATGGACAGCCGCTGAGCGTTGCTAAGAACTGGAATGGATGCTTGTGTATTGCGCATGGAGTGCCTGGGTGCATAGGGCCGCGAAAGAATCACCTTTGACAGCGTTGGGTAAAAAGCCCAACATTGCTAAAGGAAAAAGGCTGGTTAACTGCGGAAAGTCTCAAGGGATTTAAGGCAGATTTAGCAAGAATGGCAAGGTGCGTTTTAAAGAGGCATCACGACAATGTTAGATCATCTTTGCCATTGTGAAGTGCATAGAGGTGAAATCGCTACATCACAGAGCATTCACAAGCAACTGCCAACTCAAGTTCTCATGGAACAAATCAAGGGCACTGCTTTGCTTGGGCGAAAAGGGAGCTGATGGCTACCTCCTTGCCTGCATGTGTAAGATTTCGTTCAAGTCACAGCAAATGGACTGTAGTTTACAACCTCATGAAGGAAAGGCCATTGATGCGATTCAAATGGCAACCTTTGGAGTGCACACGGGAAGCGCCAATCCACGATCGCCAATGCCTCAATGGCGTTGGCACATGGCCAGATGCAAGGCCGCAACCACACACAAGACGCCCGGAGCTTATGTGTTTGTTCGCCCTTTCCAAAATGAAGAGCCTTGCCGATGATGGCAACGACCTCCACAACCAAACAATTCGAATCTCCTTGCCCCCACAGAACTCTCCTTTCCACATGACACAGACCATCACCCATCACCAACCCTGGCCAAACGACACTTCAGAGATGCCCACTCATCGCCACAATGCAGCCAAATCCATACAACATATGTCAAAGGCCCCCATACAATCAGTGGAAATGTAGAAATGTTTCAACTGCGAGTGCGACCCCAACTACAACATTTGCCTTTGAATCAGATGGCATCTCCCACAACAATTGAATTGATGCTCACAAAAGTCCCATCATAAGAAAAGTTTTGTGAATTTATAACACATTTTCTTTTCTTTTCATAATTCAGCACAACTCACATAGAAAACATATCCTTGAAGTGCATACAAGTCGCAAACCATAATGCGTAAGTGATCCACCCAGTGAAACAATGGTCATTATGCTGTGTTGTGAACAAGCCATCTTTTCCCGAAGGGTGCTCGTTACAATGCATTCGCAACCATGTCTGATGACCTCCTTAAATGGGATGGCCCAAGTATGCCACGAATTCAGTAATAAAAAACACATATTTCAATAGTGTTTCAAAGGAGTGCCAACACTTCAATGTAGATGCGTGAAAGACATGGAATATGCTGCGAAATTTGCAAATATTGCATGGAAATGAGGCTGCGTTGACTGACTCAAGAATGAGTAGTAGTTGAATGAGTAGTCAGAATGCCGGAAAGATAGTGTGATGCACCCCTTAGTACAGGGGTTGCATGTAGAGTGCAACAGTAAGGGAACGGGAACCCAGGAACCCATGCAAGGGTAGTCAGTAGGATCCCTGTCTGGCTTGTGAGACTACCAAAATTTTGTGCAAGGACGCGTGACGAACACGCCCATTTTTCTAGTGCCAGAGTGCGCTCAGCAGAGGACAACGCAAGGATGGTGGCCCAGACGCTTCGATGGTGGCACGTGCAACTGCATTGCAAGGTTGACATGACAGGTGCCCAGTTGGTGGAGTTTGGAATTGGCTGGCCGCATGAGCACGATGGCTTGTGGAGCATGAAGACGGTCATCCGCTGACCCGTGGTGCCATGAGATAAACTGCTAGGGCCGAATATACACGGCTGTGTGAGTTGGACAATGGAGGTGAAGGCATGCCACTACACATAACAAGAGCAGTGCAAAAAGGGGTTCATGTAGAGGTCTAGACCGATGGGGGCAAAACGCCCCTGGAGGATGGATGGCTTATGCATGTGCTTCATGCGAATGAAAGAAGAAGATATGCGGAGAGCAACATAGGTGCAACTGCAGTGTGGGCTTCCTAGTGCTTGACATGCTGGCGGAGGAGAACATCAGCAATGTCCGTCCATGAGTGGTTGCGCTTCTTGGGTGCCAAGGTCAATTGGGCGTATGAGCTAGGGGCACTACTTGTTGATGGTGTCATGTCATTGGTTGCTACGTACGCATGGAAGCAATCCGCTTGGCAATTCGGCTAGAGATGGGCCCAGCAAGCCAAAAACATGGATTCGAAGTCTTTTCATCGTTCAGGAACCCATTTTGGCTAGGGAATTGTGAAACTAAAGTGGAAAGGACACCTCAATCCGGGGAGCTTGGATGGCAATGCCGAAGGCGCATCACCCACAATTCGTTTGCTGAATTGGAGATGGGTTCCTTATCTACAAGAGTGTTTCCCACAATAGTGTTTGGGTACAACGAGAGTGTGAAAAAAGCATCAAAATTCACTCAAAAGTCCCCCTATTTATAGTTGAGGTAGGCCACGTCCCAAAAAAGCACATGAAATGCCTCAAGTGACGTCATTCGCCCTTGCAAGTGATTTCATTCGTAGTTGTTCGCTCAAGTGTCAATTCCCAACCATCAAATGGCACATTGCAAAGATCGTGGCCTTGCCATGCCAGACCTCTCGGAGGGCAGCAGAGGAAAATCGACTTGAATCCAGTCGAGCGGGGTCGATTCCGAATGATGAAACGGCCAAAAATGCACAGGCCGAACGTCTCACGCCAGTCGGACACAGGGCCTGAGTCCCTTCCTCGAAAGGGACACTCACTTGGCCTCAAACGTCCTCTCCTCAACTGGTGACGAGGCCTGACTGGCTGCAGTGGCCGTAACCAATGCGTATTACAAACCGAAAGCGGCCTGAATTTCCAGCTCGCCAGATTATATACAAGTTCACGTTCTTTTCCAGCAACACACACTGCAAAATGTACCATAGAATATTCCTCTTTTTATGCGCATCATGATTTCCAGCACTTGAAGTTCCATCACCGTACCGCTCCTCGTTGCCGCTAACCTGGAAGATACCGAATCTGTGCCATTCAAGCCACTACAACCATGGTTGTGCGACCATCGAAGATCTGGCTGGACAGGCGCAGATTCGCACGTATCTCATCATTAGCTAACCTATTTTTAAGGCTACGGTTGATAGCAGTGTCCACTATTCCTAAAATACTTTAACCATTGTTCCTTTCCAGCTACACATAACCCCCCAACCACAAATTGTCCTAAAACACCATCGGAAGCCAAGGTTGTTTCTTAGTTTCCACTTATTTCGTTCTTCCTAGATGCCCAAAATTCTTGAAACTTATCAAAAAAACACAAATTTGGTGTCATTCAATCGCAAATTGAATTTGCAACTGATCTATATCATTAGAACCTTATTATGATTCCATTTAGACCATAATGAGACTCCTGGCCTGACTCCAGTCAAGCACCCGCGTGCCAGGCCGCGCATAATAGCTGAAGCAGTAATTTGAGGCTTGCATCATCTGAAGAGGAAGATCCCTTGACGACCAAGCGAGGTCTCCAAAGAACAACTAATGGAATAAATGTTAGGGGAATTGCCAAGGGCATGGGGCATAGTTACAGCAATGCTGTGTGAATCTGAGTGAGTGGCGGTGTGATTGATGCTGATGGATTGATTGGGACGTTCTAAGATTGGAACTCTGTGATGGAGGGGCAATTTGAGGACAATTTGAAAAATACTTCCTCCGTCCCAGATTAATTGTCGTCTATTTGAAAGACTAAATTTGTTATAAGGACCACCTTAGAAATTCAAAACAAGGTCAAAATCGAAAAGATTGCATCTCGAGACCCTTGACTTTCAATTTTCAAGAATGAAAAGTGAGACATGACCCTTTTGAGCGCAAGGAGAAGATAAATTTTGGTAATTTTCGACTCCAAACAATGAAATTTATTATGTAAAAAGACCCTTGACACAAAGTACTGCCAAATACTCAATACTTAATGGATTGTCTTGAAAATTTTATGGTGTATTCCCAACTCAAAAATACAACCGTAGACAAAATTTCAATGAAAACAGGTGTGATTATGATGGAGAAATAATGCCCCAAAGTCATAGACGACAAGTAATCTGGGACGGAGGAAGTATCTATGTATGGTGTACTTGTAACGAAGTATATATGCGAGGGAGCAAAGGCAATCTGTGCCTTTTCACTCCGCTTTGACACCCACAACACCGCCTCGCTGTCTGAATGCCCGCATCCGCGTGGGGGCTTTGCCCTTCGAAGCGGACCTTCAATTACCGGAACAATTTGGCGACCCTGCCAGGGACGTTCCACGCAGAGGCACTGCTGCTCAACGCAGCCCGTGAACGCACCCAACCAACGACGCAGGCGAGCCACGCGAGTGCGAAGCATGCTGAACGCCTAACGTGCATGGTGCTGAGTGACGCCGCATGAAAGCCATCTGGGAGCGTCGGACGCGTGGCGCGTCAACGCGACACGGCACGTCCGGGGTACGCTAGGCCATGCGCGATGGATAGAATGGGTGCGAAGTGCGGGCTGATGATCGAACGCAGCGGAAGTGACAAGGGCGAGAGTCCAAAATGAGAGGACACATAGGATGTGCATGCACGCGGTCAACAAAGCACGCGGAGTATGCACAATACACCAAATGCGAATGCAGCATGGCGTGC